CGGCAGTATCTTAGTTTTTAAAAATGTTTTATTTTTATTGTTAAGGCATCTTAGTTTTTGATGTAAAATTTGGTTTTCTTTCCTACCTATCCAGAGATTGCTTTAAGGGTCTTTACATTACAGTGGTTCCTAGATTATCAGACCAAAATCTACTTTTCTGTTCTTAGTTGACCTGTGACAATGCTATTAACCTATTTCCTTCCAATTCCATTTCATTTTCTAAAAATTTATTATGAAATTTTCATACAAACAAAGCCAGAGAAAAGAGCATAATGAGGCTCCATGCATCCATCTCCTCATTTCAATAATTTTCAACACGGTGCTGATCTTGTTTCAACATTCACTTCTACCATGTCTGCCACTGGAATACTTTAAAGGAAATCCAAGATGGCATATGTGTTCAGCTGTAAAGAATTCAGGTAAGAACTTAAAAAAAAACATAGCAACAAAACAATCATCCCACCTAACAAATTTACTAATTCTTTACTATCCTCTAACACTCAGTCCATATTCAAATTCCCCCAATTTTTAAATAATTTTTTCAAATTAGAATCCATACAAAGTTTGACATATTACATCTATTCTCCAACACACACTTTTTAAAAGTCCATTTGTTGAATAAACTAGGTTTTCTTTCCTAACAAGTTTCCCTCATTCTAGATTTGGCTGATTGTATCTCAGTGTGTTTAAAATGTTAGTCTACTCCCTGAACTTCCTGTAAATCGGTACTTAGATGTAGAGTCTTAGGTTCTGTTATATATATACATATATATTTACAAAAAATTTATATATATATATATATATATATATGTATATGTATATATTTGCAAAAATACTTTATTGGTGTGATGTCAACTTCCTACACATCCCAGCAGGAGCCACATTGTCTGCTTGTCCCACTTACCATTTTCCCTTTCAAGATACCTCTAGCTCCTGGTTTTTCTTTTCTGTCATTTCTTCTAGTTCCCATCACAGGCTCTACTTATGTTTTGAAGAAGTTGTTCTTCAGGGCCCACTGTCACTGGTCCATTCCTTCCAGTCTATGTATGGTCCTCTTTTCCATATTCTTGTCTTTTTAATGCAGACCCTCTCCACTGGGTTCAAACCCAAATATTCAGTTATTGGCAGGATGTCACTGGATGTCCTGTGAGCCCTTCAAAGTCACCATGTTCCAAACAGAATTCATTATCTTTGTTCCCAAACCGGTTTATCATTGTTTTCTTCACTTCAATAGCTAGAACCACCATCCAAGACAGAAACCGGAGCCACCCTAGACTTTTTCTCACCTGCCCCAAATCACCAACCCGTGGAACGTCTATTTCCTCAGTATCACAAGGGTACCCCCTCTCCTTGCTGCTAATAGAGTCAGTTCCAAAATTCAGACAGAAAATGCAAATGCATTATCCAGTCACACATTCTCAAGCAGAGCTAGGGCTAGAACAGAACCTGATGCTTATCCAGTCCCACATTCTCAAGCAGAGCTAGGGCTAGAACAGAACCTGATGCTTCAGCACGGAATGTACTGGAATCCTGCTGAGGGCTGAAGTGGCTCGATTCTGTGATGCTTTAGACACTGTGTGCCCCACATAGATGGACATTTGGTTGTAGAGACGGAGTTCAGCAGGGCGAAGCAGCTGAAAGTGGGGAGCTCAGGAACCAGAATATCTGGGTGGGACAGCCACTTGCACCCCTGAAAGTGAACCTGATTCAGCTGGTTATTTCAGCTGCTTCAGACTTCTAATCTACAAATGGGAATCTTCCTTCACCCCTTTCTGAAACCCCCAAAGCTCTGGAAACCAGAAGTTGTTCTTTTGTTATTGTTTTTGTTTGGCAGCCAAATCTGACTTAACTGTAAGGATTTGATGACACCCCTGACCTGAATAAAATTGAAAGCACAACCAATCTGAATCTTGAAACATGCCTGACTTAGAGGTTTTGGAAAACAGGTTGTATACCTGTAATGGTAGGTCATCATAGGTTGATTACTGAAAAATTAATACTTGAAAAGCCATTAGAAGAGTATGTGGCTCATAGTAAGCCCTGGATTGTTTGATAAAGTGAAATACAATATTTTCTGCCAGAATAGTTTGATGAATTTGGGGGCCTCTAGCAAAACTGAGTTCCTACCATAGCTTTTCTGTTACATAAAAATTAAACACCAGAGATAGGAAATCCCCTTTTTTCGAATGGCATTCCAATTCCTTCCCTGCTCGGAACTACCCACTATTGTGAAGCTGGTGTATATGAATGATTTGCCTGCAAGTTTCTTGGTGTTAGTACATATGTGTCCACAGTATGTATATTTTAATCCTCACCCGAGGACATTTTTACATTGATTTTCAGAGAGAGTGGAAGGGAGGGTGCAAGGGGGACAGATGGAGAGAAACATCAATGTGAGAGAGACACATCGATTGATTGCCTCCCACTTGTGCCCCGACTGGAGCGGTCAAACCTGCAACTCAGGTACTTGACCAGAATCAAACCAGTGACCCTTCCATGTGAGAGCTGATGCTCTAACTACTGAGCCCACTGGCCAGGGCCATAGTATGTATTTAAAAAAAAACAAAAAACAAAAACAAAAAAACAAAAACAAAAAAAAAAAACAACGAAGAATGATTGGTCCCATATGTCAATAGTGCTGAGGTTGAGAAGCCTTGCCCCCATCCCTCGCTTTCCTATGCTCTTACAGCTCCTGCACGCATGCGTCCAGCAATGCACATATTGCAACTGTTATCACTGTGCACCTGTCTGCTTCTCCTCCTAGAATGCAAGTTCCCCGAGGAAAGAGGCTATGGTTTGCCCGCCTGGAATAGAAAGAAATCAAAATATTTGCTCAATCAATGAATGAACACCATATAGGTCTCTTCTATCGCAATTTATTCATGAGGCATATGGGAAGATGGGCCGGTGGGAATGAGATGTAAGAAGCCAATGCATCCATCCGAAGAGCTGACAGGGAAACATTTCTCCTTATTAGGAAGAAGTTTCACACCCAGGATTTCCACGGGCCTGCTGGCAATTTTTTTGTTTTGTTAATCCTCACCTGAGGATATTTTTTCCCACTGATCTTTAGAAAGAGTGGAAGGGAAGCAGGGAGGGAGGGAGAGATCAACATGAGACACACACATCTATCGGTTGCTTCCCACACATGCCTGGTCCAGGCTGGGGATGGGACCTGCAACCCAGGTACCTGCTCTTGACCAGGAACTGAGCTGGACACCCTTCAGGGCGCAGGCTGATGCTCTAACCACTGAACACACCAGCCAGGGCTCTTTGGCAATTTTTAAAGGCAGAGAATAAACGTCAACATGTATTGAGTGTTTACCGTGCAGCCAGCTCTATGTTTTCCAGGTACTAACTCAATGTGGTCCTTACAAGGACTCCATGGGGAGAGGGGGGAATTAACACCCACTTGAAGAGCAAGGAACAGGAAGCACTGAGAGGTGAAAGTAACTCGGCGTGCAGTCACGGAGCCAGCCGGGGTGGCGCGGGGGTGGTGGTTTCTTTGGGGAAAGGAAGGAGAGTCCTTTGTAAGGAGAACCATTTTCCTTTCAAATAGCTAAGAGCCTGCCACAAATAGAATTAGTTTGTGTTTGTGTCCAAGTTACATCTATTTTCTATTTAGGCTTATGCATTTAAAATATAAAAACAAGAGAACTACTGAAGACTTGGGATTTTAGTCACAGTCACCTCAGGGGAAATTAATTCTGATTTTTGTCTACAACAGCCACGCTCAGATTGCAACTCCAGTAATAAAACGAGTGCTTGCAGAAACAAGCACCCAGGGCTGCTGAAAGTAATGCATTTGTCGCGGGGCAGGGGCTGAGACGGGGAGCTAAGCGTTCTTAGGGAAAAACATGTCAATACTAAATCTCTTCACCACCCTTTGATGGATGTGCTAATCTTCTCGGGTCAACAAGGCTCACCCTGGCGGCGTGCTGTAATAACTTATTTAAAAGGCAGCTGGCTCTTTTAAATGGCCTGTTTTATCCATTTTCAGATTTTCAGACTCAGAAATGTATTCTCTTATCGAAACGCTATTTGCCATGCAAAGTACTTCAATTATACCTCTTCCACACCAGGAGACTGCAGAGGGGAGCAGCTTTGGGCATTACAGTTCTCTGCTCTCAGTCCTGTCTGACACTCAAACTCTGCAGAGGTAAAGAAATAACAAAACGAATGTCAGACAGGTAATTTCACCTATTAGAGTGGCGGTCCACCAACTACTGCCCATAGGCCAAATCTGGCCCATGCCTGTTTTTATAAATAAAGTTTTATTGGAACACAGCCACACTCATTTGTATACCTATTGTCTATGGCTGCTTTCAGCGTGGCAAGGGCACAACTGAGAAGTTAGGACACAGACCTGCAGCCTGAAAGCCCAAAATATGAATGCTTGGGCCCTTGGCAGCACATGCGTGCTGACCTCACAGGGAGAGAAGTCACTGTCTAGCTGCATGCTAGGACCACGCGGTGTGGGGGGTGGGTGAAGGAGTTCCAGCAGGGTGCCATATCTGCCACATTTAAGGCATCTGCCTAGTTAAGCTGGGTTCCAGATAGATGCAGAAAAACACAAAAACCTAGGCAGTATCTCTAAGTGAGAACTTCAGTGGAATGATCATTTTATGTCAGAATGCAAGCAGGCAACAGCACACGTCCTGCTGCTTACAAAAGGCTGCTATACTACACTAGAGTCCCGGTGCACAAAATTCGTGCAAGAGGCTTGGCCTGGCCCTCACAGCCCCAGCTTCATCTGGAAGGTCTTTTGGCAGTTCAGTCTAATTAGCATATTAAAAATTAGCATTTTAGCTCTTTATTATATAAAAGATTTTCTTCCTCCCTACCACCTCCCCCCACCCCACGACAGGCCCACTGGCACTTTGGTGAACATGCTGCTTTCTCAGGACAAAGTCCCCTTTCCCTGAGAAAATTCACAGAAGCAGATGAAGGAACAAATCCCAGTGGAAAGGGGTGATGGCTGGGGGCCCAAGGCCCAGGGCTCAGAACTTCAGCGGAATGACGGGCCAGTACTTGGGCCGCTTGCGGTCAAAGTGCTTGTTAAAGCTCAGCTGCACGGCGGCCTCCATGGCCTGGATCTTGGCGGCGCTGTCCCCATACAGGCGCTTCATCTCGGCCTGGCGCCGCTCGCTGGGGCTCTCGGAGGGCGGCTCCATGGAGCGGCGCGTCTTGTAATACAGGTCGTGGTCGGCGTTCACGTAGTCCTCCAGGCGCTGTGCGTCCAGCTGCTGCTGCCGCCCTGCGAAGAAGCCAACACGGTCAACTGGGGTGAGTTCACGGCTGCCAGACGTGAAGCGGGGGGCACTCCCCCAAGCCCCTTAGCTTTCCCTTTCACTGTGATGCCACCCCCAGCTGTGCCAGCTGAGATGGTCTCTCGATTCTAAGTCACTAGTACTCAGTCATGAAGCTCCCTGTTCATTTACCCCAAACTGCCCCGCATCTGGAAGCAGCCCTGAAAACACAGGAGAAACTAACAGCACCTGGGTCCTCTCCTCTTCCAGCCGCCAGCTCACATCTTGCCCAACCAGGAAGGGCAGGTGGGGCTCACTGGGTTTTAGACACCAAACCAGGCCTGCAGGCAAGGCCAGGCTTCCTGGAAAGGCCAGTGTTGTAAGAAGTACTCCCCACCATGGAAGAGGTGGTGGCAGAAAAACTGAATTCAGGTAATCCGGAAAGAGCAATGGCACCATGACTTATCCTTCCCTGCATCTAAAACACACTGTGCCAGCCAACAGGAGGTCCAGTGATTGAACGCTGGCCAAAGGTATGCGGGCCGAACAAGGGGAATTCTGCGAATGGATGGGAAACCTATGTGGGCTAATTTTCCTGCTACAGTAACAAAGCTAAAGAGGCGAGAAGGTAAAGATAACTTCAGTGCACAGGCTGAGGCTCTAACTACCTAACAATACTGGCCATGTAGCCAGGTGTCTATGTCCTCGCTATAGGATCTGACTTTTTACTTCTCAGGTTGGCCTAGGCTCCATTTCAAGTGCCATCATTATACACTGAGTGGCCAGACGATGATGATCTCTGAATGTATAATCTGGCCACTCAGTGTCTATCCTGTATAATAAAAGGCTAATATGCAAATTGTCTCCTCGACCGGGAGTTCGACCAGCAGGCAGGCTGGCCAACCACCCATGTCCCCTCCCCCTGGCCAGGCTGGCCGGACCCCATGCATGCACAAATTCATGCACTGGTCCTCTAATACACACACACACACACACACACACACACACACACACACACACGGCCAGATTATTATGTGTTCAGAGATCATAATAATCTGGCACTCAGTGTATGTTTTAATTACTATTAATTTAAATGGGTTCTTGCCCACCTGGGTGACTCAGTTGGTTGAAGCATCACCCTGTACACCAAAATGGCTGCAGGTTCAATCCCCAGTTGGGATACATACCCAGGTTGTGGGTTCGATCCCTGGTCCGGGCGTCTATGGGAGGCAACCGATTGATGTTTCTCCCTTGTATTAATGTCTGTCTGCCTCTCTGTCTCTCTCTCCCAATTCCTCTAAAATCAATAAACACATCCTCAGGTGAAGATTTAAGTAAATGAAGGAATGAATGAATGGTTCTTATAAATCAAGAAATATGTATTCAATTTATTCTCCCCCTCTCAATTTTTTTATAACAAGTACTAATATAACTTTTATTCTTATGTAAATAAGAACATAAAATATCAGCAAAACAATGCTGCAGAAGGTAAAATTTAGCCTATTTCATAGATTTTTGTAAGCGTCTCTCAAGAACATAAATGGATAGTAGAATGCATCCATCAGTAGCTACCACTGCTACCAAGTAAGGAGTGAAGATGGTTGTAGGGGATAAAACAACAATAAACCATTCTTTCCTGGTTAAAAGCAGGAGAGAGAAAGGTTATTATGGAAGGAACCACAAAAGTGAGGAAACCACGTGTGCACAGAAAGATGATTATATGGCTATACACAGTCCCTCTCCTAAATCCTGTTCTTTCACCTTGGACGAGGCGGGAAGGAGTTTTATAAACTTGGAAACATTATTAAAAATGTGGCCACTGCTGTCTTAGCACATCTGCAGTTCATTTTCACAGAAGGAAGCAATGCGCTGAAATGCCAAATGACTGTCAGAATGAAGACCGTATCCCTGTTACCTTATCCAGGGAAAAGATATCACTGATTTACTGTGAAACGCAGGCCTAAACCAAAACACTGACCTAATAAGGACATGAATGGGAGGTCAACAAGCATTTGTTTCTCATTCTCAGCCTTTCTGAGAAGTTTGAAACATCAGGATGTAAGTTGTCCAGGCCTCATGGGTGTTTAAAATCTATTCCCCACTCTGCCTCCTCTGAAGGCCTGGCATCTCCCCATTAGCCAGGGAGGAGAGTCCCACCGGGGAGAGCCTTGGCCCCTTACCCATCCTTGGGCTCTCCCTTTGCTGTTGGCCTGCAGGACACGATCCCATGCGGCTCTGCTGGGGCTTCCGAGCCTCTGCATCCAGAGGGCAGAGATCCCAGGCCACAGTCCTTTCCCTCTCAAGCTTGTCCCTAGACTGTCATCAGCCTTTTCAGCAGATGAAGCGACACAACAGATGTTCCACTTCCTGTCTGCATCGAAGTCTCCGAGTTTAGAAGTTTGGATAAACACTGGGCTCTTCGCTATCTTAGTAAATGTTGCTCTCTGCTGTTAGGGTATGTGAATATGACCTTCTTAGCTTTTGCATCTCGAGTTTTCTTTTCCTTATAACTTAGCATGGTTATGATTGTTTCTTTCTGCTACTCATCTGACAAAAACTGTTTACCCAATATTAAATTGATGTCCTAATTCTATGTGGAGAAACATTTTCTTTTAAAAAAATGGATATATTTTTAGTGATTTCCGAGAGGAAGGGGGAGGGAGAGAGAGAAACATCCAGGATGAGAGAGAATCATGGATCGCTGCCTCCTGCATGTCCCCCACTGGGATCGAGCCTGCAACCTGGCCATGTGTTCTTGACTAGAATCAAACCTGGGACCCTTCAGTCTGCAGGCAGATGCGCCAAAGTGGCTAGCGCTGGAGAGACATTTTCTTAGTGTTGATATCTGGGGATGAAATGCTGTGCACACAAAGCAACCCCAGCTGGCAGTCTCTGAAGCCTGTGCAACTTCCCAAGTTTGAGCTCGGCTCATGGGTTGCCACCACTGGATTTGAGTTCTTAACGAAGTCAGTGCACACATTTTAAGAATAAAAGCTGTCCTCTGCTCTGTTCTCTGCTTGTAGCTCCTTCCCACCAGCCTTCTTCAAGAAAACTGAAGGCCCAACTCTGTTCCCGCCTGCCCACAAGCAGCCTGTAAGTTTCCGGGTTTCCTCTGTGGATTGAAGGGGCAGGAAGGGGGAGGTCCCTGTTGCCTGTTTTCACCCCTACCCCCAGTCCCAGGAGGACACCATGCCTGACACAAAGCAGGTGCTCAGGAAATGATCATTGAGAGAAAGTATGGACAAAGGCCATACATTATTTTTTTGTAAACAATTGTTTCTTCCAAATGCTGTTAAAGAGAAATGATGACAACCCAGAGAGAGAGGAACAGATGCTGAATCACAAAAGGTTCCCCTACAGAACCTCAGCGCCTCCACGGGGAGAGGCTGAGGGAAGAGCCAGGGTTGGGGACTGATGCTGTTTCCTTACATCTGAGTCACTTCACCTCCACTGACTCACACAATGAAGACAAATATTCCAAGGCTGGACGACAGATCTGAAAACCAGCCAGCTTAAACCAAATACCCTCAGACTGGCTGAAAGTGCTTTCGTGTACACTGACCTAGGGGATCAAACACGCCTTATTCCGATTCTGTTTTCTATTTGTTGCTTCCTTCCTCCCACTGAGAAGGATTCTCAGTCACTAGTAGTTTTTCTTCCTGTCAAAACTAGGTGAGGGCTCATCCAAGCAGATGGAGGATCAGCTGACTGAAGCGGAGAAGGGGAATGTCCCACCTCAGACATAACTAAGCAGGTGCCTTGCTCTGGAGAGGTGGGTCATTTTTACTGGAAACAGCTGTTGGACTCGATGTTCCAAGAGGTTTGTTCTTGTAGGATATTTGGTCATGGGAATTTGTTTGAATATAAATCATACTCTTTTTATATTCCAGCTTTAAAACAGGGTTGTAGTGGGTTGACTAACATCCTCCCAATATTCACATCTCCCTGGAACCTCCGAATATGATCTTATTTGGAAACTAGAGGCCCAGTGCACGAAATTCATGCACGGGTAGGGCCCCTAGGCCAGGCCGGCAATCAGGGCCAATCGGGGCCTTCTGGCTGCTGGCTGGGGGGGGTTCCTTCCCCAGCCGTCAGCTGCCGGCCGGGGCTTTCCTTTGCTCTGTGCACATCATAGCGAGTGACTGAACTCCTGGTCTCCCAGGTGAACTGCATGTTAGGCTTTTGTGTATACAGAATAGCATCTTTGCAGATGTGATTAAGGGAAAGGTGGAGATGAGATCATATTGAATTGGATTGGGGTGGACCCTATCCAATGAGGTGAAGTGGAGAGGGACACATAGAGTCACGGGGATAAAACCATGGACAGCTGGAGGCATGGGTTGGAACTACGCTGCCACAGGCCACCAAAGGCCAGGAGCCAGAAGAAGCCGGAAGAAACAAAGCCCAGGAGACTCTGGAGGGAGTGTGGTCCTGCCAACAACCTGACCTTGCACTTCTGGGTTCTCAAACTGTGAGAATAAATTTCTTCTGTTCTAGCCCAGTGGTCGGCAAACTCATGAGTCACCAGAGCCAAATATCAACAGGACAATGATTGAAATTTCTTTGGAGAGCCGCATTTTTTAAACATAAACTTCTTTTAATGCCACTTCTTCAACATAGACTCGCCCAGGCCGTGGTATTTTGTGGAAGAGCCACACTCAAGGGGCCAAAGAGCCGCATGGGGCTCGCGAGCCGCAGTTTGCCTACCACGGTTCTAAGCCATCCCGTTGGTGGTAATTTGTTAGCAGCCCTGGGAAACTGTTACAGGGGTAATATATACACAGGGTTAAAACAAGGAAAAACAGTTAGTATTATACTATTAAGGAGAAACTGTACTGGATTCATCTGGATTTAGGATATAGAACCTTGACATTTTTTGCTTGAGTCTATAGCTTTACATGATATTGCCAATAGAGACTTATGTCCACAAAGGAAAAAAAAATCATTGGAAATGACTTGGAGCCCAGAGAAGCCCACGGAACAGGGAAACATGCATTCATTATTCCAC